GGTCTGAAGAAAATACATAGTACTGTTCCTGAGCAAGAGATAAAGGAAACAAGAAATAGAGATAGAGGGAGACGCCAGGGCCCGCAAACGTCTGCAGGTCTACCTTGGGTCTCCGGATGGACTGAAGGAAGCCCTCCAACTACTGTTCGAAAGCTGCTCCGGGATCTGCACACAGTGCAGGGTGTAGTATCAGCACAACCGGCCCCATGTGTTGGTAAGTGCCTGGCCTAACCCCGGCAAAGTAGTGACGAGGCTAGGACCAGACTCTAGATAAACCTATGCAGTTATATAATATATGGCGGAAAAGTAAACAGACAATAAGCAATTAAAGCGGGAAAGGAAAACATGCCTCGGGGATAGCTTATAAAGCAAAATAGCAAAGAATAAATAAGGAAGCTAACAATGTAACTTCTAACACAGATAAAGAAAAGTAAAGACAACTTTCACTTTCAGTTTCCATCTTTTTGCAGGCGTGCAACCCGATCCCATTTCTCATATCTTGTGGTAGGCATACCACCCGCTCCCATTTCATAATATCTTGTGGTAGGCGTACCACCCGCTGCCATTTCATAATATCTTGTGGTATCAAGGAATCCCGACAAGGGAAAATAATCAATACAGTAACTTCCCGGCAAGGGAACACAACAATGTAATAATTTTCCTGGCAAGGAATCAATAATATTGAAATAGTCATCCCGACAAGGGAGAATCAGCTATAACCAATCTCAACTTAGTTTGTACTTAGCTCAATTATTAAAAATACTCAATCATAGAAGATCATTAAGTAAAGCACCCAAGTGTCATTTAAGAACACAACAACTTTCAATTTAAGACTCACGGTCATGCTTGACACCAACGTATAGATACTCTTTACCATGCCTATACGTCGTACCCAACAAGAAGCAAGTAGCAAATATGACTCAACTCCTAATCCCTCAAGCTAGAGTTAGACCAAACACTTACCTCGAAGCTTTAAACACCACTCAAGCCTCAATTATAGATTTACCCCTTGATTCCACTACCAATCCGCTCGAATCTAGTCACAAGTTACTTAATTACATCAATAAGTGCTAAATGAATCAACCCCAATGCATGAAAATGAGTTTTTCCCAAAGATTTTTACCAAAAAGTCAAAATCACCCCTGGACCCACGTGGTTGAAACCCGAGGTTCGGACCAAAACCCGATTACCCATTCCCCCACGAATCCAAATATATAATTTGTTTTGAAATTGGTCCTCAAATTGAGGTCCAAATCCCCAATTTTAGAAAAACCTAGGTTCTACCTAAAACACCCAATTTCCCGCATGAAAATCTTTGATTTGAAGTTGAAATCATGTTAAAAGATGTTAAGGAGTGAAGAAAATGAGTTAGAAATCACTTACCAACGTTTTGGAGAAGAAAGGTTGTTTGAAAAATCGCCTCTTATGTTTTTGGGGTTTTGAAAAGTGGAAAATAACTGAACTTCCCGTTTATTTATACCCCTTTCAAACCCACTGTGTGGACCGCATCAAATGGACCGCGGCCGCACAGGCCTCCCTGAAGACCTGCAGTTCAGCACCTTGTGTGGACCACACAAAGGCGACTACAGCCGCACAGCCTCCACCGCGCTCTGCACAAAGGCGATCGCGGCCGCGCTGACCCCTCCGCAGTCGTACGCGATTTCTCGCGGACCGCACCAGAGGGTTCAGAGACTTGCAACTTCCTGAACCTGCAACATCTGACTTTCTAAGCCTAAGGCATCCCGGAACCTACTCGAAACTCACCCGAGCCCTCGAAACTCCAACCCAAGTATACACACAACCTCAAAAACATCCTACAGACATATTCGTGTAATCAAATCACCAAAATAACATCATGAACATTGAATTAAACCTCACGATCAATGAAATTTCTCAAAACTCTCTTAAACATCAAATTTCCCAATTAAGGTCCGGATCACGTCAAACGACGTCTGTTTTTAACCAGATTTCACATGAATGACTCAAATCATATTATAAGACCTGTACCGGGCGCCGAAACCAAAATACGTGCCCGATACCATCACCTTCTAATCAGTTTTCATTTCGAATTTCTTTAAACAATTTTAGAAAATAATTTTACTTAAAAATTATTTCTCGGGCTTGGGACCTCGGAATTCGATTCCGAGCATACGCCCAAGTCCCATATTTTCCTATGGACTCTCTGGGACCGTCAAATCACGGGTCCAGGTCCTTTTACCCAAAAGGTTAACCACAGTCAAATTAACTCATTTTAAAGTCAAGACTTAACATTTTTTATAAAATTTCATATTTAAGCTTTCCGGCTACGCGCCTGGACTGCGCACACAAGTTGAGGCTACTCTAAATGAGGTTTACAGGGCCTCTGAGGCACAGAATTCAATTAAAAACAGGTGATGACCCTTTGGGTTGACACAGCACGGGGCGTAATCCTTANTGTGTGTGTGTGTGTGTGCACGCGCTTCATCCCTTTAAAAACTAGTCAAAATAATCTATTATACGCTATTTACAAGCACAAATAACTTGAGTCAAAAAGAATAAAGTTTTATATATGGAGGAATAAAAAGGACGACTAACCTACAATTTGAACTTTGAACTTGCTATGAAGGAGAATGGAGTTCTCTTTGTATTTATAAAAAAAGTTGAATATTCATTGCTCTTAGGAGATACTAGCAGACTAGCGGACAAGATAAATAATTGGAAAAGACCACAAATTAGGGCTTCAATCAATAAAAAAAGGTCTTGACTTTTAAATTTAATATATTTCAGTTCCTTTTTAAATTTTTTGAGTAATTACAAGCTGACTTTTGGGAATTTGGGTATTATATGAAGGACTTATTCAACAAATGTAACAACCTGTCCTATCGTTTTGAGAGTAATAACCCTAATCCCCTATTTACTACTTTATCCGTATCTTTTTCTTCTTATGTGACTTGTGGGGATGTTTTGTTCGTGGTTTCGGAGTGTTTTGGGACACTTAATCCCTAAAAACGGAAGCTTAAGTTCTAAAATTTTGATCGTAGTTGAAAATGTGTGAAGACGACCTCAGAATGGAGTTTCATCGATTCCGTTAGCTCCGTTGCGTAATTTTGGTCTTGGGAGCGTGTCCGAGCTGTGAATTGGAGATGTGTAGCTGATTTAGGTTGGAAATGACGAAAATCGAATTTTTGGAGATTTTGACTAGAAGTGGACTTTTTGATATCGGGGTCGGATTCTGATTTTGGAAGTTGGAGTAGGTCCGTAATGTTGAATATGACTTGTGTACAAAATATAAGATCAATCGGATGAGGTTTGATGGGTTTCAGCATCGGTTGTAGAAATTTAAAGTTTCAAGTTCATTAAGTTTGGATTGGAGGATGATTCGTGTTTTTGTGGTTGTTTGATGTGTTTTGAGGGCTCGACTAAGTTTGTATGATATTTTAGGACTGGTAGGTAGTTGAGGTCCGGGGGACCTCGGGTGGATTCCATATCGTTAACAGATCAAATTTGGTTTTGGGAGAATGACTGAAGTTGTTGCACATGGTGTAATCGCACTTGCACACTTTGGTACGAGTGATCTCGTGAGTGAATGGGTGTTCATATTTATTGACTTTTATCCAATTTCGAGATGTGGGCTCGGGTCGACCTTTTAGGGCGATTTTTTAATTTCTTGCCTAAGCATTGTTTTTATTAATTAGATTAGCTTATTATAGTTATATTTATGGTATGTAATTGCTTTTGACTAGAATTGGGCCATTCGGAGTTGGATATTCGTGAGAAAGGCATTGTTATCGATTGATTGAGCTTGGTTCGAGGTAAGTGGCTTGCCTAACCTTGTATGGGGGAACTCCACTTAGGACTTGGTACTGTTGTGATATGTGAGCGTCGTGTACGTGAGGTGACGAGTGTGTACACATGCTATTTGTTGTAAAATCCGAATTTTACTGAATAATAACTTGTTCTCCTTAAATGAGTTATACTAACATGTGTAGTTATCCTGTTTAGCCTAGAATAGCATGTCTACGTGTCTTAAATGCTTATCTGAACTCTGTCCAACATGCTTAGTGATTTTCCTGCTTTTTCCTTAATTTGTACTTAGTCTAAACTATAGGATTTCGTATTGTAACTGTTATTTCTATTGTTTGAGTTGTGTGTTTACTTTGGGACTATGGGACGTTACCCTGGGAGATTCCCCTATATATTTACTTTGGTACTAAGGGACGGTAAATCAGGAGATCCCCCTGCACCTTTACTTTTGAGACTACGAGGCGGTACCTAGGGAATTCTCCTTGTACATTTACTTTTGGGACTACGAGACGGTATCTCGGGAGATCCCCCGCTATTTATCCTTGAGTGTTTTACTGTTACTTCTCTGCGGATTTCCTTTTTATTAAATTCCAGTCTTTTTTTACATTGTAGTATTTTCTTTGCCTTAATTATTTTATATACACTAGTAGGCCCTGACCTGACCTTGTCACTACTCGACCAAGGTTAGTCTTGACACTTACTAGGTACCATTATGGTGTACTCATGCTACTCTTCTGCACATGTTTTCGTGTGCAGATCCAGGTACCTCCTACTAGCCCTGCTATTAGTTGCGTACTTGCTACTGCTCCGGAGACTTAAAGGTACATCTGCTCGCGTACGTAGATCTCGAAGTCCCCCTTTATCTCTTTCATGTTGCCCCTCTTTTATTTCTTCTAGTGATTGATGTATAGAAATAGTTAGACAAATTCTTAGAAGCATATGACTTATGATGTTCCGAGTCTTAGGAGGATTTTATGTATATTTCGAGAGTTGGTTATTGTATATGCCGAGCGACATTTCTATCAATTATTTAATTATCTATTGCTGTTAGTTGTTAAGGTTTTGCTTCCATCTTTGGTTATTTCCACAAATGTTAGGCTTACCTAATCGTATAGACTATGCGTCGTCACGACATCTTACGGAGGAAAGATTGGGTCGTGACAAGTTGATATATTTTAAGTTGCTTGGAAGACGACTTGTACAATGTTTATAATGTCATGAAAACATCAAGAGAGTTGTGGAATGCTCTTGAAAAGAAGTACAAGACTGAAGATGCCGAACTTAAGAAGTTTATGGCCGCCAAATTTCTGTATTTCAAAATGGTTGACGACAAATCTGTCATAACGCAAGTCCAAGAATTGCAAGTGATTGTTCATGACCTCCTTGCTAAAGGTATAAATCGAGTCAATATTTTTATTCAAGATATTGATTATATTACTAATTATAATTCAATATTTTTATTCAAGATATTGATTATATTACTAATTATAAATTTATGATTGAAGGTATGGTCATAAATGAAGCATTTCAAGTTGCGACATTTATTGAAAAGTTGCATCCACTGTGGAAGGACTTTAAGAATTACTTAAAATATAAGCGCAATGAGATGACGCTTGAAGACCTTATTGTTCGTCTACGGATTGAAGAGGACAACAAGGCTACTGAGAAGAAGTCCTGTGGTAACTCAACAATAAGGGGAGAAAATATTGTTGAGGAAGCGTCTACAAGCAACAGAAAGAGAAAGAAGCCCGCCTGGTCCAAATAATTACCCGAACAAGAAGAAGTTAAAAGGTAATTACCCCAACTGTAGAAAGGTTGGACATAAGGCTGTTGGCTGCCGCGAACCGAAGAAGGACAAGAAAAAGAGTGAAGCAAAGATAATTGAAAAGAATGATTAAATGGAGGACTTATGTGCCATGTTATCTGAATGCAGCTTGGTCGGAAATCCCAAGGAGTGGTGGATTGATTCTGGAGCCACTCTCCATATTTGTGCTAACAAAAAGTTATTTGCCTTTTATGTTCCTGTGGGACCCGCTGAGACTATCTTTATGGGAAACTCCGCAACAACAAAAATTGAAGGAGTTGGGAAGATATCTTTGAAGATGACTTTGTACAAAGTTGTGACTCTAAACAATGTTCTCCATGTTCCTGAAATTCGCAAGAATTTGGTCTCTACTAGACTTTTTATCAAGAATGGATTTAAGTGTGTGTTTCTTTTTGAAAAAGTTGTAGTAAGTAAGAATAATGTATATGTAGGAAAAGGCTACCTAACTGAGGGCCTTTTCAAGTTGAATATAATAACTATTGATATCAATAAAGTTCAAGCTTCTTCTTACTTACTTGAGTCAAATAATTTATGCATGCACGTTTAAGTCACTTCAACTTCAGAACTATACTAAAAATGGTTAACTTGGAAGTATTGTCTAAATTTGAATGTGTTAATTTGAAATGTCAAATATGTGTGGAATCTAAGTGTGTTAAACATCTGTCACGACCTAAATCCTAACCTGTCGTGATGGGGCCTATCGTGGTTCTAGTCCAGCCGACATTTCAAAAATTTAACAGAAACATGAATAAAAATAGTTTTAAATGTCTAAATTCTCATAAATAGGGTAAAACCCAAAAATACAAATGCGGAACATAACTTCCACATCGGGGTGTCACAGAGTACATGAGTATCTAAGTGTCACAAGTCTGTAATACACTGTCCAACATAGTCTGAAACTAGAAACAATGAAAAGAAAAAGATAGAGAAGGGGAAAACAAGGGGCTGTGAACGTCGGGAAGCAACCTCGAAGTCTCCAAAGACCAGCTACACAAGGTATCAATACCCACCGTGTTTGAAAACACCTGGATCTTCACACGAAGTACATGGTGTAGCAAGAATACAACCATCTCAGTAAGTAACAATACTAATTAAGGAACTGAAAGATAGTGACGAGCTACATAATTATAGTTCAAATTTAAGTAATTTTCAACACAGGAAAAATAAGCATGCTTTCAATCTCGACAATTTAGGCCAAATCAGCTATCTCATATCAAATTCGAGTAAAATAGAATAAAACATCTTTCAGAAAAACTTCCAAACTATGATATATGGAAGCTAAGTGCAACAATAATGATATCAAGAGCATCTTCCCAGAACAGCAGTCACGCAATCCTTCTCACTATCTCAACACTCGTCACTCGGCACTCAATAGGTACCTTCACTCATTGGGGGTGTACAGACTCCGGAGGGGCTCCTTCAACCCAAGCGCTATATCGCTACAGTGTGCAACCCTATCTCATCAATATATAAATAGCCATATGGCTCGTTACGATGCACAACCCGATCCACACATACACAGCCTTGAGGCTTGTTGCGGTATGCAACCTGATCCACATAAATACATATCACTCACAGCTCGGCACTCAGGCCCTAACTCAGTCACTAACCTCTCCAGTCTATCGGGCTCCCAAAAGTCATGAAAAAGAATCTAAGACTGAGATATGATATCAATAAAGAATAATCAGCCCAAAACAACAATCACATGATGTATCAATAAAGAATAATAGAGATCGAGATGTGATATACAAAAAGAATCTAAGACTGAGTGCAAACAGTAAATAACAGGTAATTCAACATGTACACGACCTCTGTGGGCTCCAACAGTATCAACATAGAGCCTAAACATGATTTCTAACATGAATTGCAGTTAAATTTCTATAACACATGGAGAATATATAGCTAGCAACAAGTTATTCAACTTCACAGTTTCCATGGAAGTACCAAGTCCCAATTCCTACAATACACGCCGACATTCCCGTCATCTAGCATGTGCGTCACCTCCCAACCAATCACATAACATAAAATCCGAGGTTTCATACCCTCAGAACCAGATTTAGAACTGTTACTTACCTTAATCCGAGCAAAATCCCTACTCCAATATGCCTTTGCCTCGCAAATTGGCCTCTGAATGTCTCGAATCTAGCCACAAACAATACAGTACGATCAACACGGGCTAAGGAATCAATTCTACAAGAAATTTCAAAGTTATAACTCAAAAATCCGAATTTGGTTCAAAATGGCTCCCCAGGCCCACGCCTTGAAATCCCACAAAACTCACAAAAACCGAAAGCCCATCCAACCACGAGTCCAACCATACAATTTTTATCAAACTCTAACACCAATTTGTCGCCCAACTCCCCAAATTACACTCTCCAGTTTTCTAGCCTTAAACCCCCAAATTACACCTCAAAAATACACCTACTAGGTGGGAAAATCAATTGGGAAGCATAATTATTGAAGAAATCTAACGACAAGTGACTTACCTCAAGAATCCCTTAGAAATATCTCTCAAAAATCTCCCAATTCCGAGTTTGCAAAGTCAAGAAATGATAAAACCCTCGGAACCCAACCTTTATATTCTGCCCAGGCTTTTTGCACCTGCGGCCACTTATCCGCACATGTGGAACCGCTTCTGCAGTTTGTAACGACCCGATCAGTTATTTTGAGCTTTTACACTTCGCTCGCTAGTTCTCGGGCATGACTGGCCTCGTATGATGTATTATGACTTAGGCAAATCGTCGATTTTAATTCTCAGGTTAATCGGAACAAGTATGGAAAAATGATTCTCAGCTTGAAGATTTAAATTTGAGAGGTTTGACCAAGTCTTTGACTTTTAGTACTTGATCTCGGATTTAAATTTTTATGATTGGATTAGCTCTGATGGGTGATTTGGGACTTAGGAGTGTGTTCAGAACGTAATTTGGAGGCCCGTGGTAGATTTAGGCTTGAATTGTCAAAATTGAAATTTGGCAATTTTTGGTCGGCAGTGGAAAATTTGATATCGGAGTCAGAATGGAATTCCAAAAATCTGAGTAGGTCTGTAGTATCATTTTTGACGTGTGTGCAAACTTTTAGGTCATTCGGAGTTGAATTGATAGGTTTCAGCATCGTTTGTGGAATTTGAAAGTTCATAAGTTCTTAAGCTTGAATCCGAAGTTGATCTGGTGTTTTAGTGTTGTTTTGAGTGATTCGAAGGCTCAAATAAGTTTTAATGATGTTACGGGAGGTGTTGGTATGTTTGGGTTGAGGTCCCGAGGGCCTCGGGTGTGTTTCGGGTGAGTTTTTAGCGAGTCCGGACATTCTGGAACTTAGAAAATGGTTCTGATGCTTGAATCTTTGCTGGGGGTAGAAGTTTTTCCGCTGAGGCGGTGGGATTACCGCAGAGGCAAAAAATGGTCCGCGGTCTACGGTGAGGAAGAATATGCAAGTTCACTAGTTTGACTTCGGAAGACTATATCTTTTGATCTACAAGGAATTTTGAGATGATTCAAAAACGAAAGTTGTAGCCTTTGTGTCTAGTTTCCAGAAAGGTAAAGAAATCACAATTTGGACATCTATAGACAAAGTTATGGCTAAAATACTAAAGCATATCACTGCAGTCAACATTTTTCGCTGTAGCAGTGGATTTAGCACGGTCAGCGGTGGTTTTACTGCGGTCAGCAGTGATGGGGATTCGAAAGATGCACTATAAATACGAGATTTGGGGTTTTATTTCATAGTTTGACCTTGAGAGCTCGGGCTTTGGCGATGTTTCGTGGGATTTTCAAAAAACCATTAGGGTAAATGATTCTAACTCAAATTTGGCTAAAATACATGATTATTACGTTGGATTCATCATTTCAGTAGAGATTTTGGATGAAAATTTGGGGAAAATTGTGGAACTTCATAAAAATGAATTTTTGGGATTTGAAAGCCGATTCGAAGTCGGAATTGAGTGAAACTAGTATGGATAGTCTCATAATTGAATGGGTTGTAGGATTGTGAGACTTTTAATCGATTTCGAGACGTGGGCCCAGGTGCCGGGTTTGACCAATTTCGGGATTTTTGAGATAAATTGATTATTTTCGAGTGGGCTTTGTTCTCTTAGCATATTTTGATGGTTGAAATCTATTTTTGGTTAGATTTGGAGCATACAGAGGACAATTCGTGAGGCAAAGGCATCGTGGGCTAGAGTTTGGACCGGATAGAGGTAAGTAATGATTGTAAATGTTGTCTTGAGGGAATGAAACCCCGGATTTCACATCGTTATGCTACTTTGAGGTGATGCACACACTAGATGACAAGTGTGGGGTCGTGCACCATTGGGAATTGTAACTTAGTCCGTCCCATATGACTGTTAAGTCGCGTATTTGATTGAAAACTGTTTGATATCACTGTGATTTGGAAATTATTACCATGTTTTGGGCTGAATGCCATATTTGGGACTCGTATTAACTGTTTTGGACCCTTAGGGGATTTTTACTACTATTCCTCACTATTTTGACTTCATATTTGTACTCAGTCATGCTGTATTCTACCGTTTTCATAACTCAGCCATATTTATTCATTTTTGATATTTTAAATGATATTTTAGACTGAGCATCATGTTTTACTGTTGCCCGAGTGACTTGAGCGATTTCTGACTGAGTGAGGCCGAGGGCCTGTGTTGTGAGGATATTATGGGATTGGGTTGCATGCTGCAGCAGGTTGTTATTGATTCATGATATTGTAAGTCCGAGGGCCTGATTGATTTATGCCACGAGGTGGCTTGTTGTTATGTGAGGCCGAGAGCCTAATTGATATGCCACGAGATGGCTTGTTGTTATGAGGTCGAGTGCCTATTTAATTATGCCACGAGATGGCTTGTTATTGCGCTTGGGCTGTAAGGAGCCCTTCCAGGAGTCTGTACACCCCTAGTGTGCGGGGGTACCCAGTTTGAGTGATATGATGTTGCCCGAGGGTCTGTTGTTATTTCATATTGTTGCCCGAGGGGCTTTTCTTCATCGATGTTTTGCCCGAGGGGCGGTTCTTGATTCATATTATGCCTGAGGGGCTGATTACGAGTGACTATGAGGTAGCCCGAAGGGCTGTTCTATTGATATTATGCCCGAGGGGCGGTTTATGGTACATGTTTTGCCCGAGGGGCTATTTACATTTTCTATCATTTTTACTCACTGTTTTACCACTCATTTGAAACTATTGAAAGTTGTTTTAAAAGGTTTTACTAGAATTGAGCTTGATTTATGAAGTAAATGATTTTTGTATTGTTTTGGAAATTTACTGCATTTGCTGTAGCGTTATGACGTGGCTTACGTGTTTTCTTACTACTCAGTTTTCATTTACTTTTATTACTTACTGAGT